CCTACCCTCACTCCCTCCACGTTTTTCCTATGTAGGTTTTGTTTTTACCACAACTTTCTAACAACATGCCCACCATCATCTTCGGACATTCGCCCAGCTTGCTCCGCAGACGAACACGTTCAGTTTCACCTCGCACATTGAAAAACAGCGCGCTTCAGTGGACAGTCTGATACTCAACATGTTTTTCAGATCCACACAGACAACTTCTTTGGGTTTTTTCCGGCATTCCTGTGTTCTCCGCGGTTTTCGGGTTTTCCTCTTTTGAACCTTTTTCCGACAGCATGACTGTTTTAACGCCACCATTGCTCCCTCATTTGACTGTCCTACACCTGTTTTCGCATGTTCAGCTTGCTCAAATCAACAACCGGTGCTCCACGCCCACGATCCAGTGATACTTCGCCCAGCCACCATGGACGCGCAGTGGCAGCAATACTACTGGAATCAGTATTTGATGCAGCAACATCATCAGCAGCTCACCAACCCAGAGACCACAATCTCTCCTCCCACCACCGCACACCACGCCTACAGCCCCACAGGCACCTATGGCCCACTCACTCACGCACTTCGTACACATCACGTCCACCACTCCAACCCATATGTGACTCCACCGTACACACCACCATCGCAGCACACACACCCACCCCAGGCACCCACCTCCCAGCCGGAGTTTCCACCTCCGCCACCGCCACCCCTGCCCACGGCCGAACCCGTTACTCCACCACCATCGACTTTCCAACACAGCCCACCGCCACCACCCACCACACGTGGCACCACAGCGCCTGCCCCACCGCCCCCACACATCCCATCTCCCACACCACCTGTTCCCGACTCCTGGAACCCAACCGAGCAACATTGGGACTCCAACACCCTGCACGGCCACCAACTACATCGTACAATTCAACCCACCCAGTGGTCTCGAAAAGCAGGAGTGGCCGGCCTCCCCACCTTTGAGGTTTTCCCGTGGCAATTGGCTTACCACGGTACCTCCGAGTTCACCGCCCGTACCCTGAGCAACGGCAAATTCACAGGTTTCATTGCCACCAGAAGCATAGCGGAGTCGGTCTTCGTGACTCATTTTCTCCAACAACTCCGCGAGAACCGCCTTGACCTTGACGGCATCGCGGAAGCTCTCCACACACAACAGAGCACAGACATTCCCCACAAAACTACCCATGCCCGAGCGTTTCACGCTCCCCTCATCAAACTGCTTATCGACCAACTGCAAACCCACTCTCCAGCACCTGCGGAAGGCTCCGCCCTACGCGCCCTCAAGAACACCAACGACGAACTGGCTCGTGCACGTCAGAAACTCCACGACCTGGGCAACCCACTCACACCAGTCAAGAACACCAGCCGATCTTCTGCACCAGCCGCCCCTTCTCACGCACCCACGCCACCACCACCGAAACCACCAGCCATCACCGACGTCTTGCAACCACCACACCCCACGCTGCAAGACGATATCCCCGAAGGCTGGAACCACCCAGAGATCCAACAATGGGTCACCACCTTTGACCCCACCATCCAAGAAGCTGCGAAGGAAGTCATCCGACTGCTGCAAACAAGCAAAGTCACCACGCAGCAGCTAAAAGAAGCAGCCACCAAGTATGGCCTCCCCCTCAACCGGGTCAACCGACTCCCCATTCGCAGCCTACAACAGCTGGTGGGAGTCGGCGCAGCCATTGGTTGCTGACTCGCCATCTTGGCCCAGCAGCAACCCAGCCACACCAACCTCACCCAACTCTTCCACCTGCACCGAGCACTTTCCATGCTCATTCACCGCACCCAATACATCGACCGCGCCGAGGCCATCTTTGCAACCGGCCTCATCCACATCACACTCCTTTTCGCATACCCGTCCAACACCCGTCGTTCACAACAATGGCGCAACCGCCTCCGCCAGCTCCACATTTTACCCCACACCTACCACTACCACAACTTCCTCTCTTCCAATTCCGTCTACATCAAGCTCCACTTCAATCCCGACCAACCCCAACGCTGCTACCATCAACATGGCCACTTCTACGTTGGCTCCACAGCTATCGGCATCCCCCACCGCGAGCACAATCGCCGCGCAAAACTAAAACAACTCCAAAACAACATTCCCATTTCTGCAGAACTCTCCTTACGTTATTGGCATTCACACAACAACATCCACCACTACACCACTATTCAACTCACCTCCCATGACACATACGACCAAGCCTGGATCCAAGAGCACCACTACATCGCCAACTGGATGCCTTCACTCAACTGGCCTTTCATTTCCCACCACCTCAAACTCAAAGCTCAGGGATGGCAGTTCGCGAAACACAGAGCCCACTTCTACTCCAGACTAGCCACCCACAAACGACTTTTCCGACGCCTTCGACAACGCCAGTACACCCTCAGAGAACCACACCTCTACACTTCCACTAAGCATCACGCCCTCCAACTTCTTCGCAACCTTACCAAACACACCGCAGCCTCTTTTGAGGCAGCAAAACAGATAAGAAGCGGCCGCCACACGGACCTCGAGGTGTATGCAATCCGGCGTATGGCCGCAAATTTGGAAGAACCTGGCCGCAGCCGAGCTCTTCACATCCTCAACAAAGCCTTGATCTACCGCAACCTCACGCCACCAAAGCCAAACATCCCATTGACAGTGCCCTTCTTAGCCCATGACGACTTTACCAAGCACTGCCAACAATGGCTTCGTACCACCATCCAGCAGCACAAGCATTTCACCATTCCCCTCCACCTCCCCTCCCACAGACTGAGGGAAGCCGCCCAAAAAACCCTCCGCTCCCACCTGCACAACCACCGCACATGGGAGGACACCCTCCACTCCCCGCCAGATCCAGCAGACCTCCCCTGTGCATGCGATCACCTTCGCACCCTCCTGCAGGATCCCGATACCCCTACCATCAACGGCCACTACATCCTTACACTTGACCAACTCCAACTCCCTACACACCTCAGCATTTTCCTCAATGCCAATATGAACAGCACCTACTACCCAAGCAAAGCTCGGTACTTCCTCATTTTCAAGACGGCCTATACCAAATGGCTCAAACTACAAGGGCTTCCACCATCCCTAGTTCAACACCTACAGCCTTTCCTTGAGCACCAATGGCGCCTTCACAACACACACCTCAAGCAGCAACCCCGTTTTACGGCCCGCCTGCTTCGTCAACTCCAAGAACATTTGGGTAAACACACATTACTCCACCATGCCGATCGTGAGCTCCAACAACTGCGACTGTTTTGCCCTCGCCAATACTTCACTGGCGCCTTGAACACGTGGCAATCCCCCGAACTATTTGAACCACTTCCCTACATCACTGTCGCCAACATCCATGACCACCTGGCCGCCACCGTCCCCCCCCATCCTGCGCACCCGCTACAAGTGGGGCTTCCGAAAAGACTTCAACATCCCCTACGGCTTTGTCCACCTTAAAGAGAAGAAGCACTGGCAAAAAGGCCGTACAATTATATCCTACTTCCAATCACTCAGCGGCAACTTGCTACGCATCACCAGCCGTGCCCTTGACATTATCCTCCAACACCTCTACCCTCAGCATCCAGGCCAAATGTCCATTCCACAGCTTTGGCACCACTTTCACAGTTACCTCACCCAAACCCCACCCGACATCTCACTACACGCCACCAATGATGACCTGGTCGGCTTTTTCAACTCCGTCCCCCAGCACAGACTCATCGATGCAGTCCACTCCCTTGTTCTCCACTGGCAACAACAGCAATCCACACACACCTTAACGGTGGATGTCCAGGCCACCGGCAATCCGTTCCACCACTCCCACATTGGCAGACACCATCGCAAACACCCTACCCAACGCACCATCCAGACTTCCGACATCACCACCATTGTGGCTTTTGCCCTCGACACATGCATTTTCCGGGCTTGCAACAACACTTACAAACAAATCCGAGGGGCCGGGATTGGATCCCAGCTCTCTCCAGCCCTATGCAATGTTGCCATCACCCTCATTGAGCATTCATGGCATCAGATCCATAACAACCTCCTTCAACACACAGACCTCCACTTTACTTACTGTCGATATGTCGACAACCGTTTCATTGTCCACAACGAACATTTCCTCCAACACCCGGCTATCCAAACCCTCATCCACCACAATTTCTTTGGCGACCCTGTGGAACTTGAACCGGTGGAGGATTTTCATCTCCTCGGTTTCAACATCGACCTCCCACAACGCACTATCACCTACATGCAACCTTCTCAACCCTGGAAAATCCGGGATTCCACAACCGCCGGGAGCCAGCGCTTGGCTCTATCAGGCCTCCAATCACGACTCCACACCATTCGAAAATACACATTTCCACCCTCCAGCGCTGACGCTGCTGCGGCTGAACTCGTGAACCTATATGTCCAAAAGGGGCATAACTACCACGCCTGCCACCGGTTTTTGAAAAAAAGCGCCGAATGCGGCGACCTGTGTGTGTCCCACCCTGGACAAAGGGTCTTTCACCACCACTCTTTCCACTTTACACAGGCAGGGGCGTGTGGCACTCCCGCCCTACCACACGCAACGAAGCTGTGGGGAGTGGGAAGCAGGGCCCGATCAGCCCTGCGTACCTGCCGTTCTATCAAGCTGTGACTCCACTCTTCCTTTGGTTTGCTGTCATGGTGGTTCCATGATTCCTCCCCAAAACCTCCCCTTTGCCGCGTTTATCTTGCAGCTGAGCCGCGCCGACCGATCGTTCAGCAGACTTGACCAACAACTTGTTGAAACACCTACAAGTCTTTCGGACTCTCCACCATGCAGTTCCATCACCTTTCTTCCCATCGGAGAAATTGAGTTTAATGGAGAACCAGTGTCAAAGTGTGTGCGTGCGCCTGCGTGTGTGTGCCTGAACATCCACACAGAAGCACCTTTCCGGCAACGTTTGCTTTCAATACAACTTGCCATGTGAAGCATTACGAATGGGAGTTTTGAAGACACCAGGGTCAGCCTTCCTTTTGCTCCAAAACCACACAGGTCCCAGCCTCACCGAAGCGCTGTTGCCGCAGCGCTTGGCGCAAAACGCCCTGGTGGACGAGTTGGGACGCGCGGGGTCCTCGCGCTTGCACTACCGGCGAGTGGGTGGAAAGAGCTTGGAGTGCGGTGTGGGATGAATGGGGAGGTTAGGCATGCTACACGCTAATAATACTTACTTGATTCTGGTGAAATGTCATGGAAAGTGAAAAGTTCATCGTCATGTCACAAGGAGCTTGCAGAAATATGTTGAAGAGTGTATCTCATCCAATATGGTGAATGATTCAGCCCAAAAGCAGTCCACATCCTTTCTGCTCCATGCACTTCACCTGCAAAAAAGAGAAAACCTCCCCTCGCCCCGCAGGCTCATTTCGGGCACTGGCCCCAGCGAGGGGTGGATCAGCACGCAGATCGCGGGGAAGACGCTGGCAGTGAAGCTGGAAGAAGCACCGGGAGCAGCGGCCGACGGGAGCTGGAGCACTGAGGGCACTGGGAGCATGCCACCCGAGCTGGCGACTATCCTGGAGAAGGGCACCAAACATGTGACCGCTTGTGCCTGTGATCAGGAGAACGGTTTGTTTGCCCGGGACAATTCGATGTAGCAGATTGTTGGGGAATGTACGGGTACTTCATGTTTGTTTGATATTGTTCACTCCATTTATATACATCCACTAACCGTATATGATGTATCTGATGTGCGCAGAGCGAACCTGCAGAGCATCCGAAGGGTTGAACGCATACGAACTGGTATGACTCATCACTGATCACACGTTCGATCAATTGGTGGTAGATCGTTGGAATTTGGGCAGGTGGTTTCCAGTGTTTGTTTGCATGGTGAGCCCCCAAGTGTTCGAGAACCCACTAGCGAGCCGCCCGTGTCCTTGAGAGCAAAGCATGCGAGGAGGACCTACAGATGTTCCATGCGATTCGGCAAGAGCTTTCGCAAGGGCAACGGCCCTTCAGTGGGAACTGGCGTCCTGCCAATGATGGGAAATGGAAGACACCTTGGAGGACAAATCGGGCAGAAAGCCTGGTGGAAGTGGATGTGGGGCCAAGGTGTTTTTTGGTGCCGATTTTCGCACCTCCTTTACCATCCTTTACCTTTCAGATCTTTCAGGGGTTCATGAGGTTCGAACCAGAAAGGCTGGAGCAACAACTGAAGCTCCTTCATGGGGCCTTTCATCACTTGGTCGGAGTTGGCCGGTGTCCACGCCAGGAACGGCTTGGGAAGCGAACAAGTGGAGGCCGCCGACGGGCAGAAGCTGCCGTACCTGGCGCCTGGGTCTTGCAGGTTGGAAGAGGTGCCCTTTTGCGATGGCCTCCAACCTAAGAGCGATGGCCTCCAACCTAGAAGCAATGGCCTCCAACCTGATAGCCAAGCAGCATCCCCCTAAGATGGCCTAAAGTCAAGAAGAGGAGAACTTCGTGAAGAGGCCCCACCAGATTTAGGTCCTTGAAGTCTTATGACTTGGACTTGAGGCAGACTTGAGGTATGCTCCTTGTAGATCCAAGGCAGAAGAGAGATGAAAAGAGGATCTATGTTGGACACCTTTTACAAGATACCAGAAAGAACACAATTAAAAAGCACGTTTGGTTTCCACAACTTGTTTAACCACCACGTGACTCGGAGAATGATCCCGTTTGCCCGTGTGCGGGTATGCCAACTTGGGTTGCAGGTCGAAGCAACAAATGCACGTCAGTCTGACACAAGTTGAACCACGCCGGGGGTCTGTATAGACATCAACTGCCCTTTTTTGCAGATGTCTTTCTTTGCCAGCTGCTAGATGTTTGATTGCTTTCTCCCCGAGTCAAATGTTGATGATGTTGATGCTCCTCATAGTATGGGGCGAGGTTCAAGGACCAAGGACCAGCCAGGTCCATCGGTGGAGTACCACGAGACCAAGCTTTGAAGGACCACCCCAAGCACCTTTTTGCAAAGGCCAAGACCTTGCGGAAGCTCATGGACATGGTGAATGCTGAGATGTTGCAGTGGTGGGCCAACTTCTATGAGGAGCAATTGGGGCCGCCTCCGACACGCTGGGACTTCTTGTGGCTACCAGTGGCGAGGTCAAGAACGGCAGCAAGTATAATTAGCGGACCCAATATGGATTAATATCGTATGAAACGTGAGTAACGTGAGTGAATTCCTCCCAAAAAAGCCTCGTCATTGCATCAAAACATCCTCCGGTCACCTGACTGGATCGTCCTCCGCTGGCCTTACGAAATCGCAGTAGTCGCTCCAGGATGGCTCGGTGGGTTGCGAGTTCCATCACGACGGGCACGCGGAACACAACATCACCGTGGGCGCCTCCTTTGGCGCTGCCAGGTTGTTGACCTTCCACCACGAGGACACTGGAGCTGAGAGGCGGACCGAGCTGCGCTGCTGCCAAGCGATAGATGGGAGGGTATAGTCCGGCGGGGGATGAGGGACCAGAACGATGCCAGGAAGTTCCCCCAGATCCCCCCAGTAGAGTGGAGTGATGGAGCAACGGAGCAACTATCGATAATAAGAAGATAATAACTGGGGAACTAATAAGTTGCTAATAAGAATGCTCAATTATACTAATCAGAAGATATAAATATACTTATTCTCATGGGACCCTCTCCCCCCTTCGTTCTCCCCCTTCTTTGGGTTTCCCAAGCACCAATCACGGCCGACCTGAAAAAGAAAAGGGGCTTTGCATGGTTTTGCCCTCTGAGAGGTCGTTCCTGCAGCGGAACGGCGACATCTTTGCCTTCGACCACTCGGTGGACGAGAAGTTTATGCACGGGGTTTACCCGGTGGAGGAGCCCGGTGATCCTCCGGCGGTGTTTTTTCATGTTTTGGTTCTGTTTATCGGTGATCCTTCGGTTTGGTGCTTTCGGAAGAAGACATTCTGGGGAGGCCACCCCGAGAGATGACGTTAAAGTCGACTCATGGAACACCCCAATTGTTTGTTGATGATATTTAATCATGTTCAGTGTCAAGAGACAAGATATCTTTGTACTCGTAGGGCTAGATAGGTAGATACAGTGTTTTTGAAGGCAATTGTTGCTGCAGCGATTCCACCCCGTGAGAATTGGTAATGGACTCAGACTCAGCATCAGCTCAAGCCAGAAAGCCATATGTGCTTGAATGGACATAACAATTACTAAAGAGGCCATAGCTAACGTCCTCAAGATGTTCATGTCGAGCAAAAGAGCATAGTTCAACAGCCATTTCATTTCTGTTAACTCATGTTCATTGCACCAAAAGTCCTGGTGAAGTTCAACCACACCAAGGCGCAATTTGCTGTCGTCTTCACGCATTCAATACCATCGCTATCCATCGCTTTGAAGGGTTCAAAATATACTTTATGACAATGCCCCCCACCCACACACACACATACACATACACATAATATCTCTGGATCTATATGTGTTTCCTTTTTTTCAGGGCTTGACGGTGTTCCTTTTCCCAGGAGAGTTGCCCAAAGTGGCGATGTGAAGCGGTCCCTCGCGGTCCCCACATGACCGTTGGTCCGACGGTTCGAGGACGAAGCCCTGGGTCCTCGGATCTCGGTCATCATCATGGGTCGCTTACGCCCCAACAGCGGCCTCCACCGGAGCTTCGTCCAGGAGCGGGGCGGTGGGTTTTCGACCGGTGGAGCGTGGTGGAGGAGTGGGAACGGAAACTTATTTAGAGCTGTTGAAGGCCTGCAGGTTCCATCATTGACTGAAAGTGGTGACGGCTTTTTTGTTGTTGGGTTGTAAAGAAGACTGAATGGCTTTAGAGGACATGGCCTGCAGGACTGCCCTCCAACTGCGACAGTGTGGTAGATGCAAGTCCCGCATGAGCTAAGTAGGAGCCCACACCCCACCGATCCCCATGAGTCAGGATGTCAATACCGCCAAAACTTGAAGCAACCCACACTATGTATCGTGTCACAGAGTGATTCTCTCATCCAGCCTAGAGTCTGAGCCTCGAGAAAACTGAGGTTCAGCGTTTTCTGGCCAGTTTTTGACAGGGTCACATGAACCGCCAAAACAGGCAGGTGAAGAAAGCTAGCAGCTAGCCAAAGAAGCCTTGTTCAGTATGTTATCACAGTATGCTATAGTCATTCAGGTGATAATTGCTCAGAAACTGGCTGAGATTCATTGTTCTTTCATGTTTTTTCCCCATAGTTCATGTCTTCACCCTGCAACCAAACACTGGTCAGTTGGAGGTCCACCTCGGTGGACCAACGACGCCGGTGGAAAAAGGGCGCCCACGTGCCCAGGATCAGCGAGAAAACCGCCAGAACTTCTTCCATGATTGCATTGAACGATTCAGAAGACTCGAAAAGTCTATCGAAACTCAGGCAGGGCGGCCCGGCAGGGCCCTGGGGAGTGAAAGTGACATGGATGAGTATAGGGTGATATAGGGTGACCCCCAACGAATGGGTAGACTAGTCTGTTTCGCTTCTTCCAGGGGGTCTTTGGGAGGTCTCCCTCTTTTAATACACACCCACATCTTTTTAAGTATAAAACGAAGTTCGACGGAGCATGATAGGGTGAAAGTGCTTTTGTCGTTGGTCACTCGATCTTGGGAGTCTGATTGTTTGCTTGATAGAGTCCATGCGCCGAATTGTACCGGTCGTTTTGGACATGAAAGGAAAGGGAAGAGAGTGGTATCTAGAACGACAGTTTTAGAAGCATGCAGTGTGAATCAACCAAACGCAAACAGCAGGAACTTTGATGTTTGCTAGATTTCTCGTGTGCCCAGTACACCGTTTTCGTTGAGAACGGCTGGATTCGCTGATCCCGGGCTCCGCAAGGAGGCCACTCTGCTTGAAAAGGCCTGGTCTTTAGGGGTGGTGCTTCACAGCGCACCCGGGAGTTGTGCCATCTACATTGTTACATGAACCTATTTTTAGTTTAATAGAGTACGAAAACAAGAAGATCTCAACATGTCATCCCCAAGTGTATTAATTAGTACTATATCTCAACAGTCTCTTCGAGGTTTCCAGCATATTTTGTCATGTCAATGTCTTCACAAGTCAGGGGAGTGTTTGCCCGTGGCGGCACCAGGAGTCTTACCACTCGGGGTGGTGTTCCAGAGTTTCAAGGCGCCCCAGCCCGCATCAAAAATGGTTCCTTGAAAGCCCCTGGCTAAGAATCTATTGGTGTGAAAAACGATGGAAAACGCACCATGTGAGGAAGGGAGGGACATCTGAGGCAGTCTGTTCACCGTCTCGGTTGGCAGTCTGCCTAAGAAGTGCTTGCCTCACGCATCGGAGCACCTCTCAGTCGCAGTTGGTGAAGTTTCGGGTCCACAAGGCATGAAGTGAGGACACACATGGGTATGTTGGCCACCACTCTTGGGCACTTTTGTCAACCGAACTCGTCGACATGTCAACTTTGCAAGCTTTGCTGACAAGTCTCACTTCTCTCCCTAACTCCATCTCCATCGACCCACTCACGTCGATCGACCCGCTCACGTCGATTGGCCCACTGCTCCCGCAAGAAATTCGTCGATTTGATGGGTCACGTCAGGAGGCCTCCTTGCGGAAGCTCTTGGAAGAAACCGCGATGCAGGTGCTCTTGCGACATGAAAAAACTGATTCAAGGCCGTTGTTTGAGGAAAGGCCGGCCATCCTGCCCTAAATCTTTCCCTGGCTGATCATGAGGGAGTGATGGTGCTCGTCGATCGAGTTGGTGAGCCTTCATAGGGAACTTTGCGTCGCGTTGCCTCGGTCAAGAGCAGGATGAACCTTCAAATCTGGTCCTGGATTGCCTTGCGTTGTTGGCATGCTGGCCCGGCTCAGTAATAGATTCCTCACACCTTTTTCAATTGATATCATCCAAAAGCCAAGCTACATGACTGGGGGGCCGAGCCGGCAAGCCGGGCCCAGAGTCTGCAGGCACTGGAAGAAGATGTTGGAGAACTGCTGGAAAGAAAGCATTCCAGCAAACAGAGCATGCAACTCCTGCTGGCACACCTTGCTCGCTTATAATCCCTCTTCCGAAGGGTGAAGTATGTCATGAAAATAGTTTACTCTCAAGACGTGCCACTCGCCACTGAAGAGCTATGAAAAGCATTGAACAGCTGTTTGGATATTCAAGATATTCCTTCCGGGATACGGACCAATCCATGACATGTTGTTTTTGTTCACGAGCAAGTTTCCAGCAAGGCGAAAGCACTGAAACAAAAACTGGGTCACACTGCGCACTGGACCAGACTTCGGCAGGCCTGTTTGGAATGTTTCAGAGCATCGGTGAATATGTTATTCATTATTTGAATGATGTGGACCCTAGACAGGTTGCATGTCTAAGATTTGGTTCGGAGCCTCACGAATGCATTTGTGGACACGCCGATGTGCAAAAGTATTCTGGAAACAACATAAAGCGCCAGTTTGCTTCCTCATGCTTGTTACAAATTGCAGGTCAAAGGTGAGTCACCAATATCATGTGACCGACCGTTGCCAAGGCTTTTCTCGGCCAAGTGTAGCAGGGTGATCCTGCTGTCGCCCGGTCACGCCAGGAAGAGTTCAACAGGAACACATCCAGGCGAGCCAAATGAAGGAATGAAGGGAGGCACAAGCCACTGTTTGGTATGTTTAGGGGGAATATAGACGTCAATCAACGCCATCGCCATCTAGACATATCCAAATGCCTCATCTAGAATCTAGAATTTAGTTGTCGCATCGTGGGTTCCTTGAGCGTCGGGCGCTGGGTATCCATGATCTATACAGCATAGCTTCTTATTTCATCTTGTTTCTAATAGCTTCTTGCTACTAGTAGTAAGGCACTTGTTACTACTAGTAAGGCACTTGTTACTAGTAGCTTATTGTTTCTAATAGCAGGCATGTGGGTCAATGTTACGAACTCATCCGCAGTGTTGGACTGGCCGGTTTTCACCTGTCCGACATCAACATTCCGCTTGCAAGAGTCGATGTGCCTTCTTAGGTCTTTGGGCTATAGGCTATAGGGCTAAAAGCGCCTGGAAAACCACTGGCGTGTCATTGGCTTTGTCTCGGAGAACCCCCAGACCCGCCCGGCTGATGTGTTTGGCTCGAGCCGGAGGGAGCCGGAGGGAGCCGGAGATGGGGTGCCGGGGTGCCCTGCTCTTCTCATGGCTTCTTTGCAATGTAGTTTGTGCCAAAGAGTCTTTGAGTCATTGGACCTGGGGGGGAGTGCAGACCGGCACAAGGACTGCGCACCTTCTCTTGGATTTATATATAGTTGGATTTGTTTACGACACAGACTCCATGTCCCACCCCAAGTGCGTCTATAGTGTTTTATAATGCTTTATGCGTCCAGTCTTCGTTTCATTGATGAAGGGGGACGGCTTGTTGCTCCAAATTTGACGTGCGATGCTGAGCGGGCAATCCCCAGCGCTACACTCGGGAAAAAACCATCCTGCAGCAAGTCTGTGGTGGAGGGTCTCATCTTCAAACAGATTCGTTGAAACCATCCATCAGAGCGTCGCAGGTCCCAAAGCGTCGCCACAGGGCTGATCTTTCGCTACCCCTCGTGGTGATCAAAGCAACAGTTTTCATGATGTTCACATGGAGTTCAAATTCTTGAAGCAAGTCCAGGAGGATGCCCAGGTTGGTCATGGTTTCCTGCAACTGGGCGTGAGCTCGTTATGCTCCGGACCTGAATTGTCATTGGCTCGTTCATCTATAGACGGGCCCTGCACGGGGCTGGTGGATGTGTTTGAGGAACGGTCAAGCCATTGCTCATGAGCAGCAAGAAACAGTTAATTTACATGGGAAGTCGTAGAGTCTAGAGAATCTCATGATCAGTTGGAAGATCTTGTCATGTATATGATCTTCCATGACGTTCCTTCTTTTTCTACACCCAGCAGCTCTTTTCTGAGGATGATTTCGATGAAGCCCCAAGCTTGGAGCCCATCGCTCATCTCGCTCCTATCGCTCCCCGACGGACACCGCCCCCCGACCTGCGGCCACCGGCGCCGGCGATGACTTCGGGTGACTCACATGAAGCCGACCTCATCGGCGCGCTGGAAGAGCGCGCGCGGGCACGACAGAGGAGGAGACGTTGTGACGTTGAATCGGAGGTGGAAACATGTAGAATCGTATAGTAATCTTAGATATAACATGATGTAACATGTTATAGGTGAGCTGCGGGGCTCAAAGGCCCGAAAGCTCGGGTGAACGGGCACCCAGGGCGGATCGTGCACCTCCACGGTGCAAGTCCGTGTCAATAAGGGGTGGGGCATCCCTCACCCCCCCTTGGCACTGTGATTTGCTGGTGCTGTGGTCCGAAAGGTGCATCGGTGTCAGCCATGGAGAAGGCTCTGGCAATCGCCGAGGAGCTCACAAATGATCCGCTTCGGGCTAGAATCCGCTCCCTTCTTACTGACTGTTCCACTCCGGGCCCTGTGCTGCAGTTGGAGGGGAAGGTTGTTGTATGTGGGGAAGTCATTGCCGTCAATGAGGACATCTTGGACATTGATGTGTTTCCATTTGTTCCTTTTGCTGGCTTTGATGCCCAAAGGGAAGATGGTCCGCCTTTCCGGATTACGATGCCGGGCTTGGCAGCCCGATCCATACAGTTGTCAGCAGGAGTTCGTGTGGTATGTGCTGGTGGAACTACATCCCGGAATGAGTCTGGTGTTGTATTCGCTGCTGGTGCTACAATTTGTTTTCGCCCAGAGCTTGAGCAATGTATGCCATGGAACTTTTTACATTTGTTCGCTGGATCCTTTTCAGGCTGGACACATGCTACAGCTGCCTTGGATCGCATTGAGCAGGATTTCACGGTGGGGCAAGAGATTTCTCTGGATCATGATGAGGAAGTGATGAAAATTTGGAGCTTGAGGACCCATGCAAAGGTGCATCGCTGTCCTATTGACTTTGCTACCCCGTGGCCACACTCGCAGCAGGTTGGTATTCTGGGGACTGTTGATGACTGGACGGTGCTCAACATTTGCCGCATGCAATCCAACGTTTGTGTCACATTATCTCCACCGTGTCAGAGCTGGTCCAGAGCAGGTCGCAAAGCTGGATTGAATGATGCTAATGGCCTTGCTTTTGTCGAGGCCATTGAGCTTCTCACTGTGGTGCAGCCCATTCTCATTGTTGGAGAGTGCAGCGATGAAATCGCGGCACACAGGCATTTCCACATTTTAGAAATGCTGTTTGCAGTGTGTGGTTTTAAGAAAACATGGATGCAGGTCACACCACTGCATGAGCTCACGGATCATTGCCGCACTCGATGGCTCTCGACTTGGGCCCGTGTTGATGCTAATCCAAACTTTGTGGGTTTCTCTTTTGCCCTCAAGTCCATTCCGAAGACTCCGTGGAGTGACCCCTGCTATCAATTTCGCATCCCTTCGATTTGGGGGAGTCAGATGGTTCTGTCAGAGTCGGAGTGTGCGATCTACGGTGACCCTGCTTTGTACCCAGGGAAGAAATCCTTTGAGGGTAAACCAAAGCCTATCCAGGTCCTCTGGGCTCGCGTGCCGCCCACATCACACCCGTTGCCGACACTGTGTGCTGCCTACACATCACAGCACACTCTTGCTCCGCAGCATGTGCAGTCAAGAGGGCTGTACACCTTCCTCAATCACACCAGTGCGGGATTCGAATTCTTTGACCCTGCCCGGTTCTGTGGGCTTTTTGGGGCAATCAATGACTGCAGTTTCCCCTCCAAGCTGCATTTGGCTTTTCGGGGTGTCGGGAATGCCATTGCATCACCGCATGCCATCCTTGCGGTTGCGATCTCGCTTCACTCGATCGGCCATGTCCAGGTTGACCCGCTTCAAGCTGTTCGACAAGCGTGGGCGATGCGACTGACATCTCAAAATGCTGTGCTGTTTGCAAGTGGGGATTTCGTACACCTAGTCCGCAAGTCTCAGCTTTTGCATTGGATTTCGCCTCGTCCTGTCATTAGTCTGCCTCAAGGCCAGAGTGGCATTTGCTTCAGTGGTACCTTAGCAGACGTGAAGTTCGAGTGCATGGTCCCTGACACAGTCACATGTCTTGAAGCCATTTGTCTTGCATTTGAGGGTCCACATGACCTCCTTGCACAGGTGTCCTTTCGTACCATTGATGAGAAGCCGCACTCAGGTACACCGATGCGTGCCCTCACCCATGCACCAGAAGGGTGGGAAATTGCAGTTGCTGGCATTCCGATCGGGAAATGTCATGTCGTTTTCCGAACTGAGGTCATCGAGGAGTCCAATGCCCTGCCAGTGCCGTCTGCACTCCGTCAGCTCTTCCAGATTGACAATGCCCTGGACTTTGATCGAGCTCTTGCAACTCCGTGGGTTCGTGACATTCTCATTCAAGCTGCAAGTATTGTTGATGATCACGCTGGCAATGCTTCTGTGATTTTCCTGCATGGGGAATACTCTTGTGATGTGCAAGTTTTTGGGCCGTATGCCCAAATTATGCTGCTGATTCGACAAGTACAGCAAGCTCATCCGGAATGCCGCCTTGCACGCGCATGCAGTTTTGGGGGTGTCACTACACTCTTTGTCATCTGTGCAGACAAGTGCTGTGAGGCCCACCAGGTCCAGGTCATCTTGCATTGTCCTGATACATCTGAGTGTCGCCTTGCTTCAGTTCCGTCTGAAATCATGAGTGATGCGGAGTTTCAGTTCCAGCACACCAAGTACACTGTGAGCACGATCAATGCTGCAGTCTGTCTTGAGACGTCAGCCCAATGCCTCAAGGATGACCTGTTGGTCTTGCAGCCCCATGTCATTGCAGCAGGGGGACACCATGCATCTCCTGGCCCAAGGCCCACTTTGGCAGCAGGTGCACCGTTCAACGATCGTGCAGAGTTCATGTGCAACACGCTTGGGTGGGCTGCGACTGATGAGATTGCCGCAGCTACACAGTGGATCCAGTGGAGTCAGGGCCGGGTCCGATTCACACAGCCACTCATGTGGGATCCCAACGCCTCAGACTTTGATGATGTGCGAGAAGAGATCAATATTGCCAACAATTGTGCTACGATCCTGCCCATTCTCATGGGCAACCACTGGATTGCTGTAGAGGTCCTTCGCCAAGAAGATGTGACACGGCTTACATTTCTACAAGTTCCCCCTGAACAGCAGGCGGCTTTGACATTTATTGTTGCCAGAATCCTGGACATTGCACCGCATAGGCTTGAGGTGCTGACTGACCAGCCACAGGCACCACAACATCTTTGCGGCTGGATGCTGTTGTATCGGTGGATCACTCGTCTGGATCTTCAACATCAACTTCCAGACATTTCGACACAGTTTCCCTTGCCACAGCATTACGCTGACATCATTGAAATGTGCCTGCATTGCTCAGTTGAAGATTGGAGAAGTGCACATATGGATCAGGATGTAGCAGTTGTTGCCCTGCGATTGAGGAGGAACTTTTTGTGGCATATCGCACGCGATGAGCATCAAGGTCAGCCAAGTCAGCAAATTCAGTTGGTTACTGCTTTTCCAGTGCCACATCAAGTGGTTCTCACTGTGACGCCGGACGATCCCAATCCACAGAATCGTGCAGAAGCGGCAATTCGTGCGAGGTTTGAGCATTTCCACAGATTTCAAGGCT